TGTATATATGTATGTATGTATGTATATATATATATATGTATATAGATACGGCCACTCCTGGATATTTGGGCCCCCCTCTTGGAGCCCTCTTGGGGCTCTCCGTAACGGCATGTGAGGGCCTCGAGAAGGCTGCAATAGGGCCCCAAGAGGGCACTCGCGTAACTTCTGTTTGACTCCTCCTGGGCCCTCCTTGGAGCCTTTTTGGGGCCCTGCGAGACGGCACTGGAGGTGGAGGAGGAGGAAGCAGCGAGGAGGAGATCAAAAAAAAGAACAAAAAAAAAAAAAAAAAAAAAACAAAAAAAAAAACCCCAAAAAAAAACAAAAAAAAAAACAAAAAAAAAAAAACAAAAAAAAAATAAAAAAAAAGAAAAAAAAAACCAAAACAAAAAAACAAAATAATAAAAAGAAGAAGAAACAAAAAGAAAAAAAGAAAAAAAAAAAAAAAAAAAAAAAAAAAAAAAAAAAATAAAAAAAAAAAAATAAAAAAAATCAAACACAAAGAACAAAAAAAAAAAACCAAACAAAAACAAAAAAACAAAAAACAAAAATCAAAACAAAAAGGCGCGGGGAAACGGGGAATAGGCTGGAAGGCTAGATATGACGAGAGGAGTAATACCGCGCCTCTCTTCCAACTGAGGTGGGTCCAGTGAAGCGGGACAGCGCACACAACATCACACACACACACAAACGTACGCGCGCACGCACACACACACACAAACGCACACACAACACACACCACAACACAGCACAAACACAAACACAAACACAAACACGCACACACACACACAAACACACACACACACACACACACGCGCGCGCGCACGTACGCCATACACTTCCGCGCGCACCGATACACATGCACACATCGACACACGCATACAGGCCCATGCAGACGTTCACGTGCACGCATCCACGCCACCTTCCATTGAATGTCGTGGACTGTTTGAAGACGGTCTTCTCAGCTCTACTATGGTCGCCACTTCGTGCTTTAAGAATAAATACTGTTGTTGAACAATAAATACTAAATAGGTACTAGTTAGACACTAATAGCCACGGAAATCTTGCAACACAGCCGATGCACAAACATATTTTTAGACACTGTCCGAAATAGATACTTTCAGATAGTATGACCACCGGGCCTCAACGGGAGCACGGTAATTTCTAAAAGCGTCTATTTCTAAAAAATAAATACTAATTTATATTGCGTCTACGGCGCCTCAACGGGAAGCTCAAAATTTTAAATGGTTTTCAGCCGTCTACCAGGGTACTCACTACTTACTCCTCACTACCCACTACTCACTACTCACTACTCACTAATCACTACTCACGACTCCCTAATCACTACTCACGAATCACTACTCATTACTCACTAACCACTATCCACTACGCACTACTAACTACTCCTCATTGCCCACAACTCACTACTCACTACCCACTACTCGCTACTCGCTACTCTCTACACAATACTGACTTCACACTACTGAGTACTCACAACTCGCTACTCCCATACTCGCTACGCAATACTCAATACTCACTCACCGCTACCCACTACTCACTACTCACTGCTCACTACTCCCTACTCACTAGTCCCTACTCTCTCACCAGTCACGAGTGACTAGTCACTAGCAACTGATCACTAGTCACTACGCACTACTCACTACTCACTGATCGCTACCCACTACCCACTACTCGCTACCCACTTCCTACAACTCACTGATGACTACTCACTACTCCCTACTCCCTACTCCCTACTCACTACTGGTTACTCCCTACTCGTTACTCACTACTCACTACCCACTACTCGCTACTGACTACTCCCTACTCCCTACTCGCTACTCACTGCGCCCTGCTCGCTCCTCACTACTCACTGCTCGCTACTCCCTACTCGCTACTCACTACTCACTAGTCACTGCCCACTACCCACTGCTCTCTCTTCATCACTACTCACTAGCCACTACTTACTACGCATTATTCACTACTCACTACTCACTACTCACTACTCGCTACTCTCTACTCACTACTCACTACTCACTACTCACTACTCACTACTCACTACTCACTACTCACTACTCACTACGCACTACCCACTACTCACTACTCACTATCACTACTCGCCACCCACTACTCACTACCCACTACTCACTACCCACTCCTCAGTACTCCCTACTCCCTGCTCAGTACTCACTACTCGCTACCCGCTACTCACTACTCACTACTCGCTACTCACTACTCACTTATCAATACACACTACCCACTATTCGCTACTCACTACTCCCCATTCCCTACTCTCTCTCTTCCCTACTCGCCACTCGCTACCCACTACTCACTACCCAATACTCACTACTCACTACGCGACGCGCTAATCCCACCAGCCCTTTAGGGCGTAGGTGGTCTAGAAGAAAAGAAAGAAAAAAAAAAAAAAAAGAAAAAAAAAAAAAAAAAAAAAAAAAAAAAGAAAAAAAAGCGTTTTCTCCTCTGCCAGCCCCCCTTTCTTTCCATCTGGGAGGGGTTTAACATCCCTCCCCTTACCCCTCCCCACTGACCTGGACGGGGCGTTCCGCGACGCGTTGGGACGCCCAAGATGGCCCAAGACTGCTCCAAGAGCGAAAAGGCGAGAAAGCACAAAACATTGAGTTTCCTTAGGTTTTGGAAGGATTTTGGCCTCTTGGGGGGGCCCAAGAGGCGATCCGAGGCACTCTAGAGGGGCGAGGCTAATTGAGGCTCCCCCCTTCTTTGATATATATTCCCAACATGGCCCCAAGAGCGCCCCGAAGGCTCCCAAGAGCGCCCCAAGAGCGCCCCAAGAGCGTCCCAAGAGGGCCCCAAGAGGCGCCCAAGATGCCTCCAAGAGGCTCCCAAGAGACTCCCAAGAGGCCCCAAGAGAATCCAATATGGCCCAAGACGGCTCCAAGAGCGAAAAGGCGAGAAAGCAAAAAACAATGATTTTCTGTAGGTTTTGGACGGGTTTTGGCTTCTTGGGGGGGGGCCCAAGAGGCGACTCGAGGCACTCTAGAGGGGCGGGGCTAATTAAAGCTCCACCCTTCTTTGATAGATCTCCTCCAAGATGGCGCCATGAGCACCCCGAAGTCACCCAAGAGCGCCCCAAGAGCGCCCCAAGAGAACCCCAAGAGGCTCCAAGAGACGCCAAGAGGCGCCCAAGAGGCCTCCAAAAGGCTCCCAAGAGACCCCCAAGAGGCCCCAAGAGGCTCCCAAGATGGCCCAAGAAGGCTCCAAGAGCGAAAATGCGAGAAAGCAAAAAACATTGATTTTCCATAGGTTTTGTAAGGATTTTGGCCTCTTGGGGAGCCCAAGAGGCGACTCGAGGCACTCTAGAGGGGCAGCGCTAATTGGGGACCCCCCCTTCTTTGATAGATCTCCTCCAAGATGGCCCCAAGAGCGCCTCGAAGGCTCCCAAGAGCGCCCCAAGAGCGTCCCAAGAGGGCCCCAAGAGGCCCCAAAAGGCTCCCAAGAGGCCTCCAAGAGGCCCCCAAGAGACCCCCAAGAGGCCGCAAGAGGCTCCCCGAGATACGCAAGAGGCCCCCGGGACCGCCAAGAGGCCCCAAAGACGGCCCAAGAGGCCCCCAAGCTCGCCATTGTCCTCCTCCTCCTCATCTTTTTCTTCCTCCTCCCTCCTCCCCCTCCCCCTCCTCCGCCTCCTCCTTCTCCTCCTCCTCCTCCTCCTTCTCGTCCTCCTCGTCCTCGCCCTCCTCCATCTCCTCCTCCTCATCTTCCTCCTCCTCCTCCTCCTCCTCCTCCTCCCCCTCCTCCTCCTGCTCCTCCTCCTGCTCCTCGTCTTCCTCCTCCTACTCCGACGACGACGACTCCTCCTACATCCTCCCCCTCTTGGGGCGTATGGCGGCTCAACCCGCTCTTTGTTCTTCTGCATGCTCCCCCGCTTCCCTCATCACCTCCACTCCCCTGGGGCTCATTTCTGGACGGGCTGGTGGGGATACGCGAAGCGTCTAGAATTCACTACTCACTACTCACTACTCCCTACTCCCAACTCCGTACTCCCTACACAATTTCTCCAGCGCAGAAAGAAGAAGCGAGAGAGGCCCCCTCCCCGGCTCCCTTTCCGGCGCAGAGGGGAGAGGAGGGGGGGGGTCCGGATCCCCCCCCTCCCCCTCAAGGGAGAGGGGGGGAGGGGGGGGGGTCGGACCCCCCCCCTCCCTTTAAAAAAAAAAAGGGGGGGAGGGGGGGGGTGGGGCGCGAAAATCTCACCCCCCCTTTGAAGGGGGGGAGGGGGGGGGTTCTGCGAGCACACCCCCGCTTTTCAATTACAGGGTGATCCAGTGGCGCGCTTTCGATCATTAGCGGTCGAATGTTACTACAGCTGCGTTGCTTTAGAAAATATTACGATGTGGCGCGATGCAGTGCGTTGCACTGCTCACGCTTTCTTCGCGGCGCCCCGATATGTTCCTTACCGCTGCTTTGCATAGCTCTGCGTCGCGCTGCACTGCACTGCATTGCGCTGAATCGAGATGCTTTGCGTTGCCTTGCTGTGCAGTGCTGTGCTGTGCCCTGAATTTGTATCGCACTGCATTGCGCTGCTTCTTAAGACGGAGGGGTACCCTCGGGAAGTGGAGAGGGATGCGGGCTCCCCAAGGAACGAGGAACTGGGAATGTCGCTCCAATGAGCCCGATGAAGTGGGAGTGTCGCTCCAATGAGCACGACCTCGACGCTCTACTGCCACTAGCCTTCTGGTATAGAAGCAGCTGGGACTCCTCAGATAAATCCCACCTGGAGAAAAAATGCACATCCCTACAACATCAGCGCGTGCTCACTATCAGTCGGCGGCGAGCGAGGGGTGGAAGTGAGAAGGAGACGACCTTCTCAGAAGGTTCGGAAGGCCCCAGGCCTTCTGAGAAGTTTTCGAAGCCTTCACCCAAGACCAAAGAAACTTCTCAAAGGCGCGAGGGCTGGTGAGAAGTGACGCCGCCTTCTGAGAAGGCCTCCTCCTTCTCATTCCCCCCCTTCGCTCGCCACCGAATCAGACCTTTTCTCCTCCTTCGCGCTATTTCGCCGGTTCTGTGGCATTGTGTAGCTCAACACCCCAAGGCCCTTGCTGGCGATTGTGCGCCGCAGGCTGGACGTTAGCAGGGGTATTGGAAACCATGGCGACCCGCCCGACAATCGAGTCCGGAACCAAACTTCGCAAGACTGTACTGGGAAGGCGTGCGCGGAAGCAAGGCAAGCTCCAGCGGCGGAACTCACAGCAACTGCCCAAACCACGGGCGAGTCTGTCTCCCTAGAGGCCAGACGACAACTGCGGCGCAAGCGGGTGCGGCGCCACAAAAAAGTGAAAGAACAATGTGCAACATACTGTCGCGGTACAAACATTTACCTAGCGTTCTAACTCTAGGTCAGCAGCTTGGACGAGAGAGAAGCGAACCGAGAGGGCTGAGCAGCCACGCGCATGTGCCGGATGGAAAGATGCGTGGGTATGTTGACAAGGAGGCGCCCAGCGAACGACACATATCATCAAATCGCGGCAACACACAAGCGCACCACAAACCCTGACGCCCGCGTGACCGAGGGGTGATTTGCACAGAGACATTCCAAATCGAGTCGAATCGAGATGGAACCTGTTCGGCGCTTGATCCACGTTGCGCTCTTCCTCTTCCGTCATAAGGTTAGTCTCCTCGTCGCACCAGTTGTCACGACAGGGCGGTTGGCTTTAAAAATTGCGCTCTCATACGCCTGCCCAATCACAGAAAAGTGCAAGTCCACGGTCGACGGCTTTCCTTTCGCAGTGAGTCGGGCACTCGCCCTTTTCGAAGATGTCTCGCACGAGACTGCCTGAGAAGGCGGGTCGTTCTCATGTGCCCGCGCCGCCCTTTTCTCGTCGCCGTCGTCGCCGTCACCGTCGTCCTATTTGCCGTTGCGGGCGCTGCCGTCGTCGCGTACCTGACTGGGCTTCTCTCGCCTGACGATGGGCTCGGCGACCGGAGTGGACGGATTCCCAGGCCCCCCCTGCCGGAAGTCTGCAGGGCCGCGTGCCGAGGCACACGTGCCCCTGGCAAGAGAGCCCGGCATCGAATCGACAAGTCGGAACGGCGATCGACACGAATCGGATCGGCGGAAGTCGGCAGCCGCGTCGGAAACTCGGATCGGCGGAAATCGGCAGGCTGGCAGGCCTCCAAGAAGACATCGGAACCGAGATCGGAATCCCAAGTCGGATCGACCAAGGCCACGCTAACGGCGATGTTGCTTAACGGTGATGGTGGGAACGGAACTGTAGGAGGTCACGAAGCGCACTTCCCTACACTTCCGATCTGCGGATGCATCAAACGAAAACGACACAGCGAATTGCAGGAAAGCACGAGGCGCGCGCTCCCACAATACCGAAACCTGCATCACCGTTACCTGCATCGCCGTCAGCGCGTCCACGGATCGAATCGCAACCGTAAGCCACCGAAGTCGAATCGAATCGGCATCGGCACCGAGCCCTGCACATGCCCCCGGCCACGAAACTTCTACCCCCGAGGGGGTCGAGCCGCCCACTGCCGCCCAGAGTTGTTGCGCACATTGCCGGGCTGCCTGGAGAGCGTCTCTGTACTTTCGGCGATGACGGGCCTCATGGAGGAGGGGGGAATCGGGGGCGACGACGGGAGCGAATAGCCCAGAGGAGAACAATACACGTATCCGGGGGCGCCAATGGTCCATGCCTTCGGCGAGGCGCCCAGGCGAATACGTGTAATGCCCGCCCCTGGACTACTCGCCCTTATCGTCGTCTCCGAAGGCGTGGGGCGGAGGGGGGTATGACGTAATGCCCCCCCCCGCCGTGTGACTCGGGCACCACATTCGTGCCCGCGCGCACGACGACGACGACGACGACGACGACGACGACGACGACGACGACGACGACGACGACGACGACGACACGACGACAACGACTGCGGACCAGACTCCCACGAGGGTTCCTATGCGGACACCTATGCGGATCCCGATGTGCACGGCGGCAATGCCCGGAGCGCACTGGGGGGGGGGGGAGCGTTACGTCAGCGGGGGCCATGACGCCCGTCATGCCCCAAGCAATAAAGAAACACTCTCCTGTGGCAGGCCGCACCATACCGCGCCGGCGCAGAGCACTGTGCGCGGCGACCTGCCGAGCACGGCCAGGAAAGCCGTCACGTGTGACTCTTGTCACCCCGAGGAGGAGAAGGAGGAGGAGGAGGAGGACGAGGAGGAGGAGGAGGACGAGGAGGAAGAAGAAGGTGAGAAGGAGGAGGAAGGCCGTAACGCGTGACACCGGCACACCCACAAGAAACGTGACATCGTCTAGTGTGCCAAGCGCCGCTGCTCTGCGGCCGCAACGGCGGTGGGCCCGGCCGGCCCGGCAAGCGGGCCCGGCACGCGGGTGCCAAGTTTTGGGCTCGCGGCACGGCATGGCACGCGGGCTCCGAACGGCACGCCACTGGCACAACACGACCTTCGCGGCAACTTTTTCCGCATCTTTGAAACCAGGACCCCCGTTTTCATAACAGGTCAGGCCGCTGTGCAGCATTTGCTGCTTCAAGTTGCTCTGGGCAAGCAGCACAACATAAACGAACAGCTCGTTCGTTTGCTTTCAGTGAGCGCGGCCACCTTCCATCCCTGGCCCAAGCCCGGGGGCCACGACTCTGGAGGGACCGCAGACCTGGTCTCCTGGTCTCCCACAAGCTCTCCCTCCTCGTCTCCCTCCGCGTCCTCCTCGTCCTCCTCTTCTTGCTCCTGACGATGTTCCTGATCATGCTTCCCCTCATGGTGCTGTTGTTTCTAGCCCTCCTCTTCCTCCTGATCCTACTCCTCCTTCTTGTCCTGGGACCACGAGCGTGAAGTCATTGGAGCGAGGCGCCAGGGGAGTCCAAAAATGCTACGGAGCAGGCATTCCAAACAACGAGACCATGCAAGACGTCCTATGCGCTGGTCGCGACACCTAGACGTGCAGCGAGCACGTCATTCCAACGTCGGCTCTTCTGCATGGCTGTACCTCATTCGTGCCCCCTTCCTCTTACTTGATGTTGCACTAAACTCTCCTGCAACATTTGTGCTGCAAGGTGTTGGATACATGTTGGTTGTGTTTTTTTATGATGCTCCCCGTTCGCTTCCTCCCCTTCCTCTCCTCCTCCTCTTCCTCCTCCTCTTCCTCCTCCTCCTCCTCTATCCCATCCTCCTGCACGCGGAGTAGCTGGAACTCTTTTTCTCCGAACTACTCCGCCCTGCTGCGCTATTGACGAAGGCAACTTGGAAGAAACTTTCTTCACGGTGATGTAGGCTACACGATCCATGGGTTGCGCCATCCACGGATTATGCCATGTTCCAATCATGGGTTGCGCCGTCCGTGGGTTGCGACATGGCTCGTGGCATAAGCTGCACGACCCATGGGCTGCGCCATCCACGGATTGTGCCATGCTCCATCCGTGGGTTCCGCAATCCGTGGGTCGCGCCACGGGTTGCGCCACTGGTGCCGTAGGTTTTGCGCCATCCGCAAGGTGCGCCAGAGGTTGCGAGCCCTGCTGCCGAATAGTACCAGGCCTGCGAATGGTTGCGCCGTGGGTTGCGCCCTCGGCGGTCGACAATGATACCGCCTGCGATTGGCTGCGCCACAAGTGGAGCACTCGGCGGCCGAGATTACAACGGCCTGCTGTTGATTGCGGCATACAGTAAGCTTTCCTCTCGGCGACGAAGTATGGCACGGCCTGCTGATGCGTGCGCTATGAATGTCCTTATCGGCGGCCAGTGCTGAAACGGCCTGCTTCTGGTTGCGCCATAAGTTGCGCACGTGACGGCCGAGAATGACCCCGCCTGCTCTTTGGTTGCGCCACAGCACAGGTTGCGCACTCGGCGGCGGAAGATCAAACTGCCTGCTATGGTTGCGCTCCCGACGGCCGATGAAAAACTGCCTGCTAAGCGGTGCGACCAGTCAGCCAGTCAGTGAGTCAGTTCAGTGTACCTGGCAGAACACAAAAGTCGGGCTACGCCCGAAATGACCCCGATGTTTGGTCGCTAGCTCACCTCAGTAAGGGGGCCCCACGACGGCTCAAAAACGCCTCAAGTGACTCCATCCAGCAGGACCTCAACTAATGGGGGGAGGGAAGGGAAGGCAATGTAAGTAAGAGAAGGGGCAGGAGAAGGAAGAAGGAAGGGGAGTAAGAGGAACGCAGCCCGTTGGGGTTGATGACCTCTTACCACTTGGGAGCTCCCAGGGCGGCCCGAGGCACTGCTGGGAGCAGTGAGCCGACAAGCTGTGCGAGCTGCAAGCTGCGCCGTCACGCGTCGAGCCAGCCCGGCAAGCTTCGGCCTCGGGGGAAAGCAACCGACGGCCAGAAGGTGCTCTGCGCAAGCCGTGTCTGTCATTGTCCTACTCCTCCTCCTCCTCCTCCTCCTCCTCCTCCTCCTCCTCCTCCTCCTCCTCCTCCTCCTCCTCCTCCTCCTCCCCCTCCCCCCCTCCCCTCCCCCTCCCCCTCCCCCTCCCCCTCCCCCCACCTCGCCTTTCAAGATCTCTGAACTGACGCACGTATGCCAGCCAGGCGGCAACGGCAGAGGTGGGAGAAGGGGCCGAACCCAGAGTGTCACATACAGATGCGCATGGCAGGAGTTCGTATACGCCTACACAAGCAACCACACACACATACACACTAGCGAACTCGTACACCTACATACAGACCCTACACACGGGGAACAACGAATGGCATAAAGACAAACTTTCGGAGGTCCTCTCGGATTTGCGCGAAAGCCCTGGCGACGGGACGGGGTGGGAACGAGCGGGCATCACGGCCGGCTCAAAAATCAAAAGAGGTATCGTAGCCTCAACACTGCCATTCTATCCACTCACGGATCTACTTCTCACTACAACATCATTGACATTGTTACAAGCGTACGGCAAGTTCGTGTCGTGACAACCCCGGCATTGGTTTCTGACACCGCGAGGATCGTTCAGCCATGAACGATCGGACGTTTCCGAGACGTCCGACCGTACAGCATCGACCGATTCTGGGTCGCCAGCGGCGTTAAACGTTGAACGCTAGCGGCGGGGTCGCCGCTGGTCGAAACCACGCGAACCTACCGTAGCAGTAGGTCGGGCATCTCCCCCTACAGGCGGATTGTGGACAAAAAACAAAAAAGTCAAACATTCCAGAAATAAAAAAGATATGCTGGAAAAGTCGACCCCTGACTATTTCTGGACCATTTTTGGATGTTCCTCCTGTGGAGGGAACGGCCCGACTTAACCGTAGCATGCTCTCCCCCCTCCCTGGCGCGCGGAGCGCTCCAGGGGTGGCGCCGGAGGCGCCGCCCGGGAGCTCTGGCGCCGATCCGAGCCACCAGCGCGGGCCTCCGAAGATTACATGCTTGTCGTCCTCTGGTTCCCCTGACGGGGCTCGACCTGTAAACTGTGCGCTTCGTTTTCGTTTTGCTTGCGCTTTCCCTCGGTCTGGAGCGCGTGTTTCTTTATTCGCGGCGATGGCGGGCGTTTCGGGGGGGGGCGGGGTGGGCGGGGGGCATAACGTAGCGTCCCCCCAACGTCCGCGCGCACGACGACGACGAGCGAAGACGTTGACGACGACGACGACGACGGCGACGACGACGAGCGACCACGAACACGAACACGACCACGCCGACGCCGACGCCGACGGCGACGCCGACGACGCCGACGACGCCGACGACGACTACGAGCGACGACAACAACGACGACGACGACAACGACAACGACGAGCGACGACGACGACGACGACGACGAGGACGACTGACAACGAAGAGCGACGACGACGACGGCGAGCGACGACGACGACGACGACGACTACGACGACGACGACGACGAAGACGACGACGACGGCGACGGTGACGACGACGACGACGTCGACGACGACGACCGACAACGAAGAGCGACTAGGAGTTGTGGCGAGCACATGCCTGCGAAGGCGTCGTTGCCTCCACGTGGCGTATGAGAGGTATGCTCCTTACCTCCCTCCTCCATCCTCGCCCTCGTCCTCGTCGTCATCGTCGTCGTCGTTGTCGCCCGTCTCCTCCTGTTGCCTACTGCTCTCTCTCTCTCTCTCTCTTTCTCTATCTCTCTCTCTCTCTTTCTCTCTCCTACGACTTGCCCGCGACCACCGCCCCTATGCGGATCTCTATATGCGGATAACTGGGGTCGGAGGATCGCGCCGCATAGCCGATGCATCAGCGATGCACCGGCGACGTCGGCGGTGCATCGGCGACGCTGGCGTGGAGAGGAAACACGGGCTCCATATCGAGCCCGATCGCCGATGCATCGGCGATGCGGCGCGATCCTCCGACCATCTGCTCGGACCCCATCTGGGAGGCCTGGGAACTCAGACCTGTGTGCATTTTTGCGCTAGGCAAACTCAAGGTGCTCAGCATGTGGCGTTCCGCTGGTGCACAAAAAAACGACTCAGACTCAGTGGTGAACGAATTTATGTGAATTACAGTAGGCGGCAGGCTGGCCCGTATGGTAGAAGCCCCCCCTAATGTAGCAGATCCCCAACTTGACCTGATCCAGGCACTGTCGACACTGCGCCAAAGCGAAACTAACCCATCAAAGTTAACGTGGCCAACGGCTCGGCGACGCCAGTGTGTGACGCGCGCGCGGCGTAGCAGATGATGCACCAGAGTCGGGCGACTCAGCAACATGCAATGCAAAAGTGCTAACTGTATCACTGATCCCTCTTCAGCTCCAATGATTGGCAGCGAGTGCGGGAAAGAAGTGAGAAGGGGCGGGCCTTCTAAGAAGGCTCAGAAATCCCCCAAACTTCTGAGACATAACAAGACATCTTCTAAGCCGTCCCCGAAAACACAAACAACTTGTCAGAAGGCGCGACGGCTTCCGAGAAGTCCAGCCGCCTTCTGAGAAGGCAGGCCTTCTCCTTCTCACTTCCCCCCCCTCGATCGCCGCCGAAATTTGGGAAACCAAAAGGTTCTGATACTGCTATTCCCTGGACCTCTCCCGTGGTGCGTTCTGACTAGAGTTTCGATGCGAATCTAGCGGTGGCGACGAGGACCTCCCAGGAGGTCGAAAAAGGGGACAACGATGAGAGGGTAGCGGCATCAATATCTTTTCTTCCTTCGAGAAATGAAGAAACTTGCCAGCGCTGAGGGGAGAGCTCAACAGGTACAGGAAAGGCTGGGGAAAAGCTGGACCTGTTAGACGCCTCCTAGATAGGGTCCGAGTAGATGGGGTCGGACAATCTCGCCACATAGCCGATACATCGGCGATAAATCGCCAATGCATCGGCCTTGCATCTGGGAGGCCTAGACCTGTGCGTCTTCCTTGTACTGGTTCCTCCTCCTACTCCCTCCTCCGCCTCCTCCTCCTCCTACTCATCCTTTCCTCCTCTTCCTCCGCCTCCTCCTCCACCCTCCTCCACCTCCCTCCTCCCTCCCTCCCCCATCCCTCCCGTCCCTCCCCCTCCCACCTCCTCCCTTCCCTCCTCCACCTCCTCCTCCTCCTCCTCCTCCTCACCACCTCCTCCTCCTCCTCGCACTCCTCCTCCTCTCCTCCTCCTCCTGCTCCTCTCCGCTCTGCCCTGCCTCGCTCCTTGCTCCTGCTCCTCCTCCCTGCTCCTGCTCCTCCTCCTCCACCTGCTCCGCTCCTGCTCCTGCTCCTTCTTCCTGCTCCTGCTCCCTGCTCTGCTCCTGCTCACTGCTCCTGCTCATCCT